GCCGGGTTGAAAATCATCCTGGTGTGGCGTGGCTATGACAATCAGCTAATAGACGGGCGTGGCTGCACAGCGCATCTGCACAACCATGTGTGTCATCACGGAGCGGGAAAGAAACGATGCACCCTTTCATCCGTCCGGCGACTCTAGTGCTCCACAGGAAGAGATCGGGCGTGGCTTAAAGGAAACAGAGTCGCAAGACATTCAGAGGTCGGGCTGAGAGTGAGGTTGATGATTTCAGAGAAGATGCCTTCATCTTGAATCAATTGCAGTGGTTGTACTACTTAAAAAAAAATTAACACATCCTGAAATCAGCTAGGGGGTTTCTGAGAAAACATAAACAAAACCTGTCTTATTTCGGGGTAACACGGGCTGCCTTAATCTCCTCTATAGGATGGACTGCCCTGAGAGCTGGTGTTTCTTTGTTTTCCTGAAGGGTGACGCAGTGCCATGTGGGTCTATAATCTAATAACAACAACAGTCATGGGAACTAACATTCAGTGAGCACTGGAACATTGCCTAGCATTTGCCGTTCTGATCTGTTTTCAGGAAGCGCATCCCTGCTTGACCTGCCACGAGGTCCGCATTGCAGGTGAGATAGGCCGGGAGCTCGAGCAGTTACGGCAGGACTGGGATTTGAACCCCTGGGTTTGTGACTTAGAGCCCGTAGCCTTCACTTTTTTGCTTGGCTGCCTTTTACTGTGTGTTCTGTAAACACTGAATCACATAACAATGGTATTTTTTCCGGTTTTTCTAGAAAGAGCAATTAGAAATAGTGGTGTAGAAAAGTGTCATTAGCCAAGCTCGTGAATGGTAGTTCTTTTATTCACACAATATTTCATTCGACTGCATTTTAGTACTAAACGTAAAGCCCTCTAGACACAGATTGAGGTATTCTCAGTAGAATGTCTTGAACCTCCAAATGTTCACTTATAAAGGAGCTGGACCCGGGGTGGGGACCTGCGGCCTGAAGGCCACCTGTGGCCCTCCAGCTCCCCAAGTGTGGCCCCTCAACCGAATCCAGACGCCACAGAACAAACCCCTTGGTAGCTGCCTTCCACACCAGTTCTCTGGCAGGTGGGATAAGCGATTTTGCAAGGTAGCGATTCTCATTAAAGATTGCTCAAATGCAGGATAATCTGAGCTGGAAAATAACATAAAAAAAAGATGAATTAAAAATAGAATAAGAATAAATATCTCAAAGAAGGAGTATCTCAAAAGAAACTAGGTAGAAAAAAATCTATTTAAAAAAAAGATTGCTCAAAATAGGAAACAAATAGAATTCTTCAAGCTGTTACCTGAAGATAACTTAGGAGACCTAAGTATTCGTAAGTGTTTTAAAAACTATTTCCTGTAAATAAATTACTCATATTTTCTTTTTCCTTTTTTAAAAAGCAAAGCCAGTGGTTGTCAACACAACTCCAGTGAGGATGTCAGTTCCAATCGTCTCAGCTCAGACTGTCAAACAAGTGAGTATCACGAAGCTTCTTGTGTCAGTTTCTCCCAAATAGACAATTTACATTCATTCATTCATTTATGATTGAGTGAATGAATGAGTCTTATTCTGTTGCTTGGGCTAGAGTGCTATGGCATCAGGCTAGCTCACAACAACCTCAAACTCCTTGGCTTCAGTGATCCTCCTGCCTCAGCCTCCCGAGCAGTTGGGACTACAGGCATGCGCCACCATGCCCGGCTAATTTTTTCTATATATTTTTAGTTGGCCAATTAATTCCTTTCTATTTATAGTAGAGACAGGGTCTCGCTCTTGCTCAGGGTGGTCTCGTACTCCTGACCTTTAGCGATCCTCCCTCCTGGGCCTCCCCGAGTGCTGGGATGACGGGCATGAGCCACTACGCCCGGCCGACAATTTACTTTTTATTTTATTATTATTTATTTTATTTTATTTATTTATTTATTTTTTTGAGACAGAGTCTCGCTTGTTGACCAGGCTAAAGTGAGTGCCGTGGCGTCAGCCTAGCTCACAGCAACCTCCAACTCCTGGGCTCAAGCAATCCTTCTGCCTCAGACCTCCCGGAGTGCTGGACTACAGGCCATGCCACCCGATGCTGGCTTATTGTAGTATACAAAAATTGATTACTTGGCCAACTTATCTTCTGTCTCTTATAGTTAGAGACGGGGCTTGCTCTTGCCTCAGGCTGGTTTCGAATCTCTGACCTGTGAGCGACTCCTCCCGTCCTGGCGCTCCGCGAGTGTAGAGATGACGGGCGTGAGCCACCGCGCCGGCTAGACAATTACTTTTAAATTGAAAGTTGAGATTTAGGGATATGAGATCCCTACTCATTTGAGCAGCTGTAGAATTGATATTTTGTGCCTGATGATATCGTTTCCTTGTACTTTTGAGGTTGTCCCAACACCAACCCATCAAACCAACGTCGCAGATAGGACACCAGCCAGCCGCAGCATGCGGAGCTCATCATGCCGTGCCACGCCGCTTGCCCCAGATCAGCGCAACCTCGCCACCTGCCGCCGGCCCCCTGGCTCCGGCCCCGGGGACGGGCAACGTGGGTTACGCGGTGCTTCCGGCGCAGTACGTGACTCAGGTACGCGGAGACGGTGAAGTCGCTGAGTTTCGAGAGTGGTGGTTGGGTCTAAGGTGTCCAGCAGAATCACATTCTGGAACTGCTCAAAAACATCCGACTTACCACGCCTGTCATCCCAGCACTCTGGGAGGCGCCGAGGCGGGAGGATGGCTCGAGGTCAAGAATTCAAAACCAGCCTGAGCAAGAGCGAAGACCCTGGTCGCTGCTATAATAGAAGAAATTAATTGGCCACTAAAAATATTATACAGAAAAAAAATGAGCTGTCGTTGGGTGGCGCATGCCTTAGTTCCCAGCTACTTGGGAGTGAGGCGAGGATTCGCTGGCCAGGAGTTGGAGTTGCTCTAAGCAGAGGCTGGACGCCACGGCTCACTTCAGCCTGCGCGGGCAACAAAGCGAGATCTGTCTTCATAGAAAAGCAAAAACAAAAAAAATCTGACTTACTATGAAAATGGCTCTTTCCAGAATTTAGAAATGTTAACCAAAACCCTTGGGTTCCTTTCAGTGTATCTTTGGCATTTAGAAATACACAAGTCAGATCTAAAAGTCAGGACGTTTGGAGCTGATAGCAGCTCAGTGGGGGGCAAACCTATAGAGATAGGAGAAAAAAATAAGTTCAAGTTAAGATCAGCACTGGCCGGGCGCGGTGGCTCACGCCTGTCATCCCAGCACTCTGGGAGGCCAAGCTGGGAGGATCGCTCGAGGTCAGGAGTTCGAGACCAGCTTGAGCAAGAGCAAGACCCACTCTTTACTAAAAACAGAAAGAAATTAATTGACCAACTAAAAATACATAGAAAAAATGGGCTGGGCCTGGTTGCGCATGCCTGTAGTCCCAGCTACTCAGAAAGGAGGCTGAGGCAGGAGGATCTCTGGAGCCCAGGAGTTTGAGGTTGCTGTGAGCGAGGCTGATGCCACGGCACTCTAGCCCGGGCAACAGAGTGAGACTGTCTCAAACATAAAAAAAAAAGTTAAGATCAGCAGAGACCAAATGAATTTAGAACAGACTGTGAGTATCACAAAGCTCTTTCTCATACATAAATATGATGCCACCAACTTGTACTTGGAAAAGAAACTCTGAAAGCCATTTCCGGGTGTCTTCTCTGTAGTGATCTATGTTTGTGCTTCTTGCTGATGCTCCTATTTTCGAGTATGTTCCATTGTTGGCATTGTGATCTAAAGTTACCTTTGTGCACACGTAGCTGCAGCAGTCTTCGTATGTGTCCATAGCAAGCAACTCGAACTTCACCGGGCCCTCTGGTGTCCAGACCCAGGCACGGCTTCCATTCAACGGGTGAGTGTTTGGAAAATACGCAAATTAAATTGTTGGACCGGCTTAAATTAAATACGTTAATATATCCCATTAAATATACATATTCCAATATACATCCTATTTGATTTTTTTTTTAACCCTTAAAACCATGTGTGCGTACTTCTAAAGTTCTTTTTAGTTTGAAATAGTTCAATCAGAAAGGTCAGAGAAATAGTCAAAGAACTCCCAAATACCTGTGACTCAGATTCACCAATTTGGTCATGCTTCCGTTGTTATTCTGTCTCTCTGGTTCTGAATATGTTTTTCAAATGGTGATGCTAGCTGTTTTCAAATTGTTACGTTAGGTGCTTGTTTTTTGCTGTTGTTGTTTGTTTGTTAATCTATTAGTTACTGCCTTTGTAATATCAGATCACCTCGGAAGCAGTGCTTAGTTAATTACCTGGATCTTAGTTAATTACCTAGAACTTAGTTAAAATTACCTGGAAACAGTATTCACGCCAGGCCCATTTCTGTTTCCACACACGCCTTTCTCCTCACTGCCCTTCACAGTTGGATCTCAAGAATTTTGAGATTTCAACTTTTGTTTTTGCAGAAGAAAGAGTATTTATGGACTGTTCTTTAGTAGCTGTTGATAACTTCTTTTTTTAAAAAAACTCATTTTATATCTTGGCTCTCTACCTCTCTTTATAGGTTGTACCTTGCCTTTGAACTTAATGCAAATGAAACAAAAAAGCAAACTTTTATTAGGGATGGATACATTTGTTATAGCTTTATTTTTGGAGGAATTTATAGGTTGGAGACCTTTCTAATTTTTTTCCTGAATAGTTACTGTTAATTGATTAAAATGTGTGTCTTCTTTTTTTTTTTTTTCCATATAGGATAATCCCGTCAGAGTCTGCCAGTCGGCCCAGAAAGCCCTGTAATTGTACAAAGTCCCTGTGTTTGAAATTGTAAGTGTTTTGGCTACTGTTTGTTCATTTGATATAACTAGAACTGCTCGGAGTTACTAAAAATTCTCCTAGTTCCATTGTTGTCTTAAGTACATTTAATAAAATTATACAAGTGAATGCCTATATATGGCAGCGTAAAAATACTCTTTCATTCATTCAAAAAAATAATTTTAGCCTTTACGCGGTTCACTGAATAGTAGACGTATAGAATGAGACAGGGTGTCGCGAGAAGTTGGCTGTGAGCTAAGCATGATGGCCATGGCGGACTCCAGGCCAAGAAGTTAACAGAAGTGAGGAACTCCTGGTCTCAAAAAAAAAACAAAAAAAAATTACTTGATGATAACTTCCATGAGGTGTTAAATCAATTGGCTGTATCAGTTCAGCAGTATTTCCCCTCCAAATCTTCTGGGCGGTTTCAGGGATAATTCTTTCTTTGTTTCTTTTCTTGCAGAGTCTCACCATTGTTGCCAGGGCTGGGAGTAAGTTGCTGTCGCCGTCAGCCTAGCTCACAGCACTTTCAAAACTCCTGGGCTCCAAGCAATCCTTCTGCTTCAGGCCTCCAAGTAAGGCTGGACTAGAGGCATGACCACCTGCTTGGCGG